ATGTGGACGAATAATTAGCTTTGTATAGATGGTGTTATAAAATGTAGACAGACAAGGTTTTTCTCTTGGCTATTTTGAGTATCTTTGTTGTGGCCTTTGAGGTTCCTGCAACAATTATAGTCTGTGAAGAAAGTACATTTTTAGCAGTACAGATGTACTCAGTTGAAAATAATTTAATATATAATCATGAATTCCATTTCTCATAATAGACAGGCAGTGGTAATCACTTCAATTTTGAGAGAGTAAGACCCAGTAAGGGAAGCTGTAACTAAAGAAATCCCAGGAGTACTTTTTATGGTTAGATACTACCTAAAGAAAATCAATATTACATTAAGTGGTATTAAATCTTTTATGCTCCAGGAAAGCACTTTAGTTGTCTAATTAATAGCAAACTCGACAAAACAGTCAATCCCTGGAGAGTTGGTTACCACAGAGACTTATTAAAAGATTGACATGACCTCATGTGTCTTGATTTCCCACTTGCTTTGAATTGATAAAGTTAAGCAACATTTTATTATTAATACTTTAGTATTAACAATACCTTTAAGGCAAATATTAAATTAAAATGGCGTTGTTTAATTAAATTATTAAAATTAAAACGTCCCCACATTTAGGGAGCAGTGCATGTCCCTGTGTGACTCCTGGCCCATCTCTCGCTTTCTTTAGCATCAGTGATGCAGAGAAGGTGGATGGTACCATCGGTACCGCTTCCTGCCACCTGCTTACCTGCGTACAGAAATGTGCTCATATAATATGACACAAGATGAAAACAGATGAGTGTGAACGTAATCTAGGCATATTGACTTAAGATGTACTGTATGTGAACATTTTACAGAAGAGAAATTGAAAAAAAAATTACATATTTCAAGTTACTGTTTGACTCATTTTTAAATTTTTTCATGAAAATGAGCCGCAACACAGTACCCGGGCCTGACTACATTAGGAAATTATTTTAGGAACAAGGACAGCAATTTAGTTCAGCAGCAACAAGCTGAATTGTGACTTTGCGGGAAACATACAAAACTCTCTTGATGATCTTTTTTCTCACCAGCTTTTCTATGACAGCGTTTTCGCAGCATCAGCAGATGTGTAAGGGGTCTGGCAGGGTTACGACGGGCAGTCTTCATGTCTCCCTTTCCAGGAAAGGGTTCCTGTGGGAAGACCTCGTCATAGGAAAACCCTCCGTGTTACTTAGCAAGTGAAGTCGTCTCAGGCCTTCAGCTGCTCGAGGTTTCTGTGAACTGTCCGCCCTTAGCATCTGCTGTGTTGGGTTCCTTTTACCTGGCAATGGCAGCCTGTGGAGCAATCAGGACCACTTGGTATTTGAGTTAAGAACTGGCCTGACTTGATTATAACAGGTGGAACTGGGGGGCAGAAAACGAAATTTTAGCCCTAGGCCTGAGGGCATTTCAAAAAGAAGCCAGCTTCACCAGTTGAGGGGACTCAATTGAGCCATGTATCCCAATCAGAATGTCAGCCTTCGTGACCTCAGCTCTGCGTCTTTGGACCCCGTCCTTTAGTCTAACCCTAACCCTTGTAGGCACCCAAAGCCACTCTGCACATTGGTTTGTGATCTAAACCACGAACCGCTTACAGTCCGGCCCTGCCCCTTGCCCACGGCTGCAGCGCACAACCTGCGTGACTCACGCGCAGTGCACATGCTTTATATGCTGCACAGACAGCGCACGGATGAGTGTTTGGCAACGTAGGGCCGCACGTGCCCTCACGGAGCCGCCTCCTGCCATACTTGCGCCGCGTCCTAACTGACGTCTTACTGGATCCTTGTTTCCCTAAACTGGCCTCTCTGAGACATCTGGAACAAGAACCATCCTTCTGTTTTGGCCCCTTTCCACACCTCCTTTTCAGATGTGCTCCTTGAGGCCCAGGGCATCCTGAGCCCGTTTTGCTTTTCCCATTCTCTTTAGTAATAATCCCCAGTTATTGACAGGTTCCTATTTGGTGAATTAGCTGTTTTACTTCCACCATGACAAATGCCCACAACCATAAATGCTTAAAACAACACACATTATTATCCTGCACTTGCGTAGGTTGGGAGGCCATAGGGGTCTCCCTGGACCGTGGTCAGGGGGCCAGCAGGGCTGTGGACGGGGATGGGGTATGTGGAATATTTCCTCGCTCGTTCGGGTGTAGGCAGAATTCAGCCCCCGGGGCCAGATGTAGGGCTGTGGACCAGTTTCCTTACCGGCCATAGGGGGGGCGGTGGGGGGGGCTTGTAAGGCCCCAGGCTCTCCCTGGGCCCTGCGTGCGGTGTCCTGTTCCTCAGACCCTGTTTCCTCCTCAGTTCTCACATCTCTCCCTGCAACCAGGAAAGGTTCTTGGCACCTAAGGACTCAGTCGCTCATGGGATAGGCTGGGGCCCAACCGTAATCTTCCCAAGCAAGGTCCATAACCTTAGTGCCATTTGCAAAATCTTTCTTGCCGCGTGAGGTAACATGTTCAAAGGGACTAGGTCTGGAATCCTGGGGACGCCATTATTTTGCCTACTGCATCTGGGGTGGGCTCATGCTTTATATACATCATTTTAGTTATTTCCATTTTATCAGAAGAAATCAAGCCTTAGAAAGGTTGGGTAGGTTGGCTACATTATCATGAAATGACAGTGTCATGATTTAAATCCAAGTCTGCTTGATTATTTTTATTATTATTATTTAGTTATTTTTTAAATAGTTGAATTTTTTTTCATTTTTCTTTTTTTTGGCCACACCATTCAGCTTGCGGGATCTTAGTCCCCCAACCAGGGATCTAACTTGGGCCCTCGGCAGTGAAAGTACGGAGTCCTAACCACTGGACCACCAGCGAATTCCCAAAGTTGGCTTGATTTTTTTTTAATAATAAGTGATTAATTTTATATTTGGGTTTTTTAAAAACATCTTTATTGGAGTATAACTGCTTTACAGTGGTGTGTTAGTTTCTGCTGTATAACAAGGTGAATCAGTTATACGTATACATATGTTTCCATATCTCTTCCCTCTTGCGTCTCCCTCCCTCCCACCCTCCCTATACCACCCCTCTAGGTGGTCACAAAGCACCAAGCTGATCTCCCTGTGCTGTGCGGCTGCTTCCCACTAGCTATCTTGTTTACATTTGGTAGTGTATATATGTCCATGCCACTCTCTCACTTGGTCCAAGCTTCCCCATACCCACCGTGTCTTCAAGTCCGTTCTCTACATCTCTGTCTTTATTCCTTCTAAAGCCACCTTGCTCTTAACTCCTGTACCATGCTATGCTATGTGTGTGCGCTACTATATTTGTGCAACACACACACACAACACGCATTATGAATTAAGTGTTGGAAAGCCATGTTGCACCCAGTCAGTAGTATAGTTTGCACCATTTCTTCTGGTGATCTTGAAACAAATCTTTTTTTTTTTTTAATATTAGGGAGTAGTACAAGAAAGTGGGGAATTTGGCACATTCTAAATTAATCACAAGGCTATCAGAACAGAAAATATTTATTTGCAAATTTATTAGTTTTCCAAGACTTCAGTTCCAAAAGGTTCAATTTCACAGGTTAGCTATGAGGCTGTACCTTGCTTGGAGACTATAAATGAACATGAAGAAATTATACTGATATAATTTCCAAAATGATTTTAATTACTAAAATATTATTTCACAAAGAGTATGCTTATATTTTTATATGCTTATAACTCTGATGTAGTCTTTGAATTAATAGTCAAGTTTTAGGATTGTAGTGGAAACAAAGTGTAATATGTGATCACTTTGGGCATTCCATGCTGGTTATCATAACATAAATATACAGCTGCCCCAAACTCTTGTAAATATGCGTACCTTCGTCTTAGCTCGTAACTGTGTTTCTTTTTTCTGCTTCAGGCATCCCGTTTTACACCCCCTTGTTTGTTTACCTTCTTTAAAATATTTCCACTGTTAACAGTCACAGATGTTTTTCTTTTTTTTTAAATTTATGGAAATATAGTTGATTTACAATGCCGTCTTAATTTCTGCTGTACAGCAAAGTGATTCAGTTATCCATATATATGCACATTCTTTTTCATATTCTTTTTTTTAATGCAAAGGTTTATTATTGATTTATTTATTTAAATTTTATTTATTTTTGGCTGCGTTGGGTCTTCGTTGCAGCACGCGGGCTTTCTCTAGTTGTGGCGAGCGGGGGCTGCTCTTCATTGCGGTGCGCGGGCTTCTCATTGCGGTGGCTTCTCTTGTTGTAGAGCACGGGCTCTAGGCACGCAGGCTTCAGAAGTTGTGGCACACGGGCCTAGTTGCTCTGTGGCATGTGGGATCTTCCCGGACCAGGGCTCCAAGCCGTGTCCCCTGCAGTGGCAGGCGGATTTTTAACCACTGCGCCACCAGGGAAGTCCTCATATTCTTTTCCACTATGGTTTATCACAGGATATTGAATACAGTTCCCTGTGCTCTACAGTAGGACCTTGTTGTTTATCTGTCCTATACACAGTAGTTTGCATCTGCTGACCCCGAACTCCCAGTGCATTCCCCCCCCCACCCCACCTTGGCAACCACAAGTCTGTTCTTTATGTCTGTAAGCCTGTTTCTCTTTTGTAGATATGTTCTTTTGTGTCATATTTTAAATTCCACATATAAGTGATGTCATATGGTATTTGTCTTTGATTTACTTCACTTAGTACGATCATCTCTAGGTCCATCCATGTTGCTGCAAATGGCATTATTTCATGCTTTTTTATGTCTGAGTAGTATTCCATTATATATATACGTGTGTGTGTGTGTGTGTGTGTGTGTGTGTGTACCACATCTACTTTATCCATTCACACAGATGTTCTTCTTAATTTCATCACCTTAGTTTCAAGTTCTCCGTGGTTCTTGCCTTACCGACGTCTGGATGCAGCAGGGAAGGCTGTGTGCCCTGTGCATGTTCGCATGGCCCGTGGGCCCCTGAGCTGAGTCTGCTTCTTCAGCCTTCTCTCCCGAGGGCAGCTGCCACATGGGAGCAGGACTTACTCATCACTCTGTCCTCTTCCTTGCAGAACCTCGATGCCCTGCACGACCACCTTGCTACCATCTACCCGGGTATGCGGGCACCTTCCTTTAGGTGCACCGATGCAGAGAAGGGCAAAGGGCTCATCCTGCACTACTACTCAGAGAGAGAAGGCCTGCAGGACATTGTCATCGGGATCATTAAGACGGTAGCTCAGCAGATCCACGACACTGAAATAGACATGAAGGTAATGGTCAGTACCTGGGGCTCTTCTGGGCACAGGTGACATGCGGGGGTGTCAGAAAGGTGCTTTGAACGTGCCCCTGATCAGCGCTGCTACTGGCGCTCAGCAGAGGTAGTACCAGCCGTAACACTGGCAGTCTTCTATATTTGGCTTGGAATGCATACACAGGGTAGTTTTTCCTTGTGGGAACAGATTTTTCTTTCTAATTATATATATTGCTCAAGGCAACAGGAAATTTAATTTGCATTTCCTGTGAGCTCACACTAGCCGGGAAGCAGGAGGACCTATGTCTGGCTGAGCTGTGGCCTTCAGAATATAAAAAAACCCTGTAACATGGACACATTCTAAAATAATACGAGATGAAGTATTATTTTACTGGGTTTTTTTGTGTGTGGGGGGGTTTTTTGGTCTGTTCCTGAAATGTGGTTCAAATATTTCATTTTTGTGGGCTAAAACCTTTGCTTTTTTTTTTTTTTTTATTAGATCACTTGGTAAAAGAAGCTGGTCGCAGACTTTAAAAAATGTGTTGCTGTTGATAATTCACACTGTCAGTTTTGAGTGATAATTTTAAGATATTGATACAATAGCTGTGCAATAAAGGGAGCCACCATTTTTCCTTATTTCTAATCCAGAGAGTCACTCCCAGGGAGCTGTGTTTTGTGTGCTCAGCGTATTCAGTCCCAAGAGACATTTTTCAGTGGCCCTAGGTTTGAGAAAAGTGGGCAGAGGGTACCCTATTTCAGTTTTCTTTCTTTATGGAAAATCTAATAGGCAGTGCTTTCTTAGATCTATAGTTACATTCTAACATGTGTGGGAAGCCCACACTTTAAGTACAGTATTACACGAATAGAAATTGTAACATTTAAATTGATTAATTTCGAAAAGAATGCCGTATGTTTAATCGAGTAATGTCACATGAGATTTCACGAGTGTTTTTTCTTTCAAGAGTTGGTGTCATTTTTTACGTGATCCCCAGGTGCATCCTTAGTTTCTCTACAACTAGAAAGTGGGAGTATGGATAATGTAACATTATCAAATCCAGAGACATTTAAAAATTAAAAACTTGGGTCAAGGATTGAAATTCACCCGTGATTAGGAATCTCACTGGAATTCAATTAAAATTGTTTACGCCTTTCATTTCCAGCTCTGGATCCTGATACCGAACTAACACTTCACTTATAGTACATGAGCCTGTATCATGGGGCTTGTAAACACTGGGTCTGCTCTTGGTTTGTTCCTTACGTAGCCAAGCTGAGCAAGAAGTAAGGGCATAGAAACTTTAGGAAAAGCAGCATAAACTGGTCACCCTTGGAAACTGCAGTTGCCATGGTTATTAGAGCCTTTGGTATGGGAGGTTGACAGCAGTAGCGCTCTGCATAGTTATGGGGTTCACTTTATACATACCACTTATACAATATGGGTTGTCTTGTGACCTTCATTTATTCAAGTATTCCAATATAGATCTCTGAAATATTTGCATTTGGTAATTATATTTGGTATATTTAATGTTTTTCAAAGGCAGTGTTTTAATTTCCTGAGGTTTTCTTATGTTGAATCCCTAAGTTTAATAGGTCCAGAGCTACCAGACAATTTACCTCAGGAATATTAGACCATGTCATGAAGGTGATATACGAAGGAAAGGGTAAAAATATGATCAGAAAAGCTGTTCATTTCGCTGATTTAACCAAAGCAAAAGGGTATCATTGAGGAATTCCTTAGTAAATTTAGGTTGCATATAATTCAGTTCTTCTAGCTGAAATGCAAACACAGCAGAACATCAAAATTTTAAGATTGTTTTGTTTTGTTTATGAGACTTTAGGGAAATTAATCTTCATGGGGCAGAATTTTCCAATCATAAATAAGAATACTAATCTTTCAGCTGTGTAGTAGATTAGTGTGACAGTTTTAGTAGTAATATGCTGATGTCACCGTGAAACTACATTTGGGAAAACATACACAACAGCGTCCATATTAATTGAGATTTGTTCTTAAGTGTCAGAGTTTGCTGCAGTGAACTAAGGAAAAAAGGGGAAAAGAGCAATGTTTTGCCTTCATTTAGCTGCAACTGAAGAAATACTCATTCAGCTATTTCCCATTTTGATCTGGCTGCAATTTGAGATATGTTTTTTTCCGTTTATAAGAGGATGTGTTGGTTGCAGTTTCTTAAAAGGAAAAATCTCTTTTAAAGCTTAATCACTTATTTGCCTGTGAATAATATTTAGAAATGTAGTTATTCTTTAATTAGAGAGCTTCGCTCGTGATCATGATTACTCCCATAGAATAAAGTCCTAGATTTGGAATTAAATCAAAAAAGGTAATTTGGGGAGGGGGGATTTTTATGCATTTTGTCCATCTATTCTTCAGAAAGATTAGTCAAAATACCCCCATTAGTGGCATGTGAAATGACTCTTCTGTATCCTACCTCATTTGGTACTGTAATTTTTATATACTTGCCAATTGATGGATAAAAAAATGACATGGCATATCTTTTTAAATATGTATTTCTGTCATTTCATTTCCCTGTTTGTGCATGTCATTTTTGATCATATTAAACATACCACTCTGTATGATGTGTAGGGCGTCTGCTGCACGTGTGCCTGGCTGAGGGGTGCTGAGCCTACCAGGACGAGGGGGTGCTTTCCCCCAAATTCTACCAAAGAGGCTGTATGGACCACTAGGGGACTTGTACCAGATTTGCTATCTTCCTGTGAATTTACTTAGTCAGTCTTGAGATTTCATAAATCAGCGTCCAGAAATAGTTTTCTACGTTAGGCGTGTATAGTGTTTGCATATATTGAATTTTAAAAATTAACCTGCTAAGTGCAGTTCTCCTCACCAGTTTCTTAGGTATTTAGGTATTGTAACTAAATGCAGACAGTTAACACCATTTCCCTCTTTGGCGTCCAGGTTATTCAGCAAAGAAACGAAGAATGTGATCATACTCAATTTTTGATTGAAGAAAAAGAGTCAAAAGAAGAGGACTTTTATGAAGACCTTGACAGGTTTGAAGAGAACGGCGCCCAGGAGTCGCGCATCAGCCCACATACCTTCTGCAAGGCTTTTCCCTTCCACGTCATATTCAGCCGGGACCTCGTGGTCACTCAGTGTGGCAATGCCATCTACAGAGTCCTTCCCCAGGTAACAGTACATCGCACTCCCTCGGGGCCTGAGACAAAAGGCCACAAAGACACTGTCGTTACGGCTGACCATCCATACCTTTAACCCTTTGCTTATGTATCAGGTAACATGGAGCACACTGTACGTCACAGAAGTTCTGTCACTGTACACTAAGTGTGTCTGAGCATACTGCAGCTTTGCCTAGGACAGCTACTTATTGTTTTCTGTTTTAATCACAAGGGCAGTGGGAGAATTCTGTGGGAATAGTGTCCTTGTTTTAATGAGGAAGTGAGTAACTTCCCAGTAACAATCAGTTTTCACTTAATTTATTCAACATGGAGCAAATAGTCACTGAATATCTACTGTCTGAAAATAACTTTCAAAATCAACCACTGACATTTGCAGGGAAAAGAAAGGAATTTAAAATACACCAGAGAGGAAAGCGATAGAGGTTACCGTGGGGATTAGTAGAAAAAGCATCAAAGGACAGCAGTTGGGTGATGCCAGGGATGTACGTTTGACTTGTATTATTATTATTGTTATTATATTTTCTTCTTCTTATTCAGACCCGTTGTCAAGTCCTCTCTTCCTACTTTTTCTTTTCTCTCCGTTTCTGACTTTTGGAATTGCACATGACATGTGTCTAGAGATACGTTTTTTTTTTTTTTTTTTTTTTTTGCGGTACGTGGGGCTCTCACTGCTGTGGCCTCTCCCGTTGCGGAGCACAGGCTCCGGACGTGCAGGGACTTGAGTGAAAATTTGGTTCAGTTTAAAATTCTAAGTTGGAAACTATTTAGCCCTCAGAATTTTTGAGGTGACTTCTAGTTGCCTTTTAGCTCCTAGGATTTTTGAGAAATCTGTTGCTATTTTGATTCCTAATACTTTAGATATGACCTGATTTTTAATGTCTCTTTCTGGAAGCTTTAATAGTCAGTCTGATATTTCATGATGGTTTTTTGGGTTTTGTTTTTTTTTTGCGGTACGCTGGCCTCTCACTGCTGCGGCCTCTCCCGCTGCGGAGCACAGGCTCCGGACGCGCAGGCTCAGCGGCCACGGCTCACGGGCCCAGCCGCTCCGCGGCACGTGGGATCCTCCCGGACCGGGGCACGAACCCGCGTCCCCTGCATCGGCAGGCGGACTCTCAACCACTGCGCCACCAGGGAAGCCCTAGAGATACGTTTTGCTTGTAATTAAGGACACTTAATTCAGGATGAACTCACATGGGATCTGGCATGGACCCGTAAATCTGGAAGCAGAACGATGTGTGGACTGGGCTGTTACGCTGCCTCTCCTCCATTGATGACCTTGACTGTGTCACATCCCTCTTGGCCTGCTTTCCCCTTGTTATACTGTGAGGCTAGAGGGTGGATGAGCATCACTTAGTGTAAGCAGTCACTCACTTTCCCTTTTATTGGTAATTAGCCGTCTCCCGATAAACTATGAGTGTCGTGGGTGGTTTTGCTATTTAAATTTCATTTTAGGCCGTGGACATCTAACACTTCATGCTACAATTTAAAAGCTAAGTTCCATTCTTTTTTCTTCAAAAATTCTTCTCTTTAGATTAGCTTATATTTGAATATTAGTCCCCTGATTGCATATTAGGTTTCATGTTCAGGCAACTACTGGATATTCATTTAGTTGCCAGGCTGCTTAGATGATGATGTGAGTCCACAGTTGAGGTCAATTTCCTACAAAATAATTACGATTTTCTCTGTTTAAGTGCTGTTGAGCTGGTCTGATCTAATAACTACTATCAGATCATAAGAATTATTGACTAAGTATCCTTTTCTTTTCATCTGCATTTTAGCTTCAGCCTGGGACCTGCAGCCTCCTGTCTGTCTTCTCCCTGGTCCGTCCTCATATTGACATCAGTTTCCATGGGATCCTCTCACACATCAATACGGTCTTCGTATTGAGAAGCAAGGTAATTGAGATATTATTTCAGTAAATGTGAGGAAGTAAGGTCTGTTACAGATTAGAAGTGTTCCACAGGGATAATTAGCTGCAAAAACATTCTGTGAGATGCAGAAGGTGTAGAGAGAGAAAAACCAGAGCCCGAAGGGAGTCCTGTTTCAAAGGCAACGGTGCTGATTTGGGGGTTGCCTGTAGGGCAGTGGGACCCTCCCCTCTGGTTAGAATAAACGCGTGAGAGTTTGGAGAAGGCCTCGCCCAGGCTGCCGGGTGCACACAGTGAACCCAGTACCTTTTACTCAGTATACAGCTACAGACTCCTACTTTAGAAATCTGGGGAACTAATAAAGATTTTTTAAACTTCACCCAAAGCCGCTGGTTTGTTCCCTAAATTGTCTGTTATTCTTCAGGGCATTTTTGTGGGGAAATGCAAGTGATAACATTTTCATTCAGTTGATAGTTGGTGGTACCCATATCTCGTTGTTTCTGTTCTTGGGGCTGATGTAGCCAAAGTGTTCCAGAGGACGAAGCTTACCCTTCCTTCCACCCTCCACCTACAAAGGTCTTCCCTGCACCTACTACCTGTATTTGGAACCAGCTGCTTCCAGCTGCTCTGTGCATGTAGGGTTGGGCATGGGGACACTGGGTCTGGTCTTTGCTAGAGCCTGGGATTACGTGCTGTGGCCATGGTGGAAAATCAGAAATAAGACTCACTGAAGCTTTCCATAAAGATGTGAAAGTAGCACAGCTACTGTCTTTCTGGGTTCAAAGGAAACGGTCAGTTGGCTTTCCTGCAGTGATGTAAGGCTGTCTGCTTGTTACCTGGCGGACTCTGGTGAAACGCCTCTCCTGTTCTACCTGGGCTGATGTTCTCCCTTACGGTTTGGTGGGAATGAGGTCTCTGTGTCCTTCTCGGCTGAGTCGTTAGATAGAGACGAAGGCATGAGTGGACGGTTGTGTCTTGCCTTTTCCAGGAAGGGTTGTTGGATGTAGAGAAATCAGAGTGTGAGGATGAACTGACGGGCACTGAGATCAGCTGCTTACGGCTCAAGGGCCAGATGATCTACTTACCTGAAGCAGACAGCATACTTTTCCTGTGCTCACCAAGGTAATCACTTCGAGGTGAATTACAATAGATAGAAGTACCCATCTGGCGCTAATGAAGGAGTCCAATATCTTTTTATTCAGTTGTTTCTACAAAGTATGCTTAGACTTCACAACTCTTCTTATACGCCTCTCTATAACAAGGATAACTTCATTGAACATTTGCAATAAACTCGGAAGAAGTCATATCTTCTGTTTTGTTTGCCATATCTTAGTCAATTTGCTGAGTGTTCATGCCATTAGATCAGGGGATACCTAATCTGAAGGTAGCTAACTCTGTAGCTTTGTGCCTTCCAAAGATGCATCATATGTCCATAAGCAAACCTATAAAGCATGTAATGCGATGGCAGAAATACATGGTTATATTTGGCACCAAGGAATTACTTTTCTAATGATTTCTGGATGTAAGCTATTTTATATTAAAACTGTTTCACTACTTTAACTGAGATACACTATTCAAAATATAGTTTTAAGTTGACATTTATGTAAATAATGTTATTTATAATAAACATCGGGACTTCCCTGGTGGCACAGTGGTTAAGAATCTGCCTGCTAATGCAGGGGACACGGGTTCGAGCCCTGGTCCGGGAAGATCCCACATGCCACAGAGCAGCTAAGCCCATGCGCCACTACTGCTGAGCCTGCACTCTAGAGCCTGCGAGCCACAACTACTGAGCCCACGCGCCTAGAGCCCGTGCTCCACAACAAGAGAAGCCACCACAATGAGAAGCCCGCGCACTGCAACGAAGAGCAGCCCCCGCTCGCCGCAACTAGAGAAAGCCCATGCTCAGCAATGAAGACCCAACACAGCCAAAAACAAATTAATTAATTAATTAATTAAAAAGATAAATATAATAAACATTAGAGGGAAGTAAAACTGTAGGTTGGTGTTTTCCCAACGTGGCAAGCATTCTACTAAAAGATGCATGGGAATTTAGAATAAGAAACATATATCTAAAGTTACTTGAGAGCAGTATACAGAGATAATAACTATAGAACTTGTTGTTAGGTGATATTTTGTGTATTTATAACTTTGTGCAGATAAAATGTATGCACATTATTTAATAACACTGAAGAAAGGATGTTTTGGTGAGCTGTTGATTAAAAATTTAGTTTAAAGTCCAATTGATCACTTTTCATTTAAAGATATTGTTTTAAAATTTCTGAAAAATCAAATGAATTTTGCAACACCTTCCTTGGAAATTATTAATATGGTATTAAAGACTCTATAAGACTAATGATGGGTTTTTCCCCTGAGAATATATATTATGAAAATAAAAGAGACAAAATTAGGGAATATAAACTCTTTATATTTTTTATTAATAACCTCCATTGATCTAACTATATATCTTCAACTGCTATAAATAAGTGTTCTTCCTTCCGCCTCTTTCCAAGTTGAGCATCGGTAGAATGACAGCTTCTCAATAGGGAGAGTTTCTACTCATGGAGAGAAAGGTTTCTTTGGAAATAGAAGCAGGAAATTTAGAGTCTACTTGCTAATCACCATATGCAGAAATTGGCTACATAGTGACACACTCACCGGTTGTCATATGGGACCTCATGTGTATAGAGAAACCAGTCCTCACACGAAATGAGATCAACTGAAAGCAGTTTTACTTACAAAATAAATAACCCCAAGAGGAAAAAAGTTACTGGCACAAAAACAGAAATATAGATCAATGGAACAAGATAGAAAGCCCAGAGATAAACAACCCACTCACATATGGTCACCTTATCTTTGATAAAGGAGGCAGGAGTATACAGTGGAGAAAAAACAGCCTCTTCAATAAGTGGTGCTGGGAAAACTGGACAGCTACATGTAAAAGAATGAAATTAGAACACTTCCTAACACCATACACAAAAGTAAACTCCAAATGGATTAGAGACCTAAATGTAGGACCAGACAGTATAAAACTCTGAGAGGAAAACATATGCAGAACACTCTACGACATAAATCACAGCAAGATCCTTTTTGATCCTAGAGAAATGGAAATGGAGACAAAAATAAACAAATGGGACCTAATGAAACTTAAAAGCATTTGCACAGCAAAGGAAACCATAAACAAGACGAAAAGACAACCCTCAGAATGGGAGAAAATATTTGCAAATGAAACAATGACAAGGGATTATCCTCCGTAATTTACAAGCAGCTCATGCAGCTCAATATCAAAAAAACAAACAACCCAGTCCAAAAATGAGCAGCGACCTAAGTAGACGTTTCTCCAAAGAAGATACAGATGGCCAACAAACACATGAAAGGACGCTCAACATCACTAATCATTAGAGAAATGCAAATCAAAACTACAATGAGGTATATATAACCTCACAACAGTCAGAATGTCCATCATCAAAAAATCTATAAACAATAAATGCTGGAGAGGGTGTGGAGAGAAGGGAACCCTCCTGCACTGTTGGTGGGAGTGTAAATTGATACGGCCACTATGGAGTACAGTATGGAGGTTCCTTAAAAAACTAAAAATAGAACTACCATATGACCCAGCAATCCCACTGCTGGGCATATACCCTGAGAAAACCATAATTCCAAGAGTCATGTACCACAATGTTCATTGCAGCTCTGTTTACAATAGCCAGGACATGGAAGCAACCTAAGTGTCCATCGACAGACAAATTGATAAAGAAGATGTGGCTCATAGATACAATGGAATATTACCCAGCCATAAAAAGAAACGAAATTGAGTTATTTGTAGTGAGGTGGATGGACCTAGAGTCTGTCATACAGAGTGAAGTAAGTCAGAAAGAGAAAAACAAATACCATATGAAAACACACATATATGGAATCTAAAAAAAAAAACAAACAACAAACGGTTCTGAAGAACCTAGGGGCAGGACAGGAATAAAGATGCAGATGTAGAGAATGGACTTGAGGACACAGGGAGAGTGAAGGGTAAGCTGGGCTGAGGTGAGAGAGTGACATGGACATATATACACTACCAAATGTAAAATAGTTAGTGGGAAGCAGCTGCATAGCACAGGGAGATCAGCTCGGTGCTTGGTGACCACCTAGTGGGGTGGGGTAGGGAGGGTGGGAGGGAGATGTAAGAGGGAGGGGATATGGAGATATAAGTATACATATAACTGATTCACTTTGTTATACAGCAGAAACTAACACACCATTGTCAAACAATTATATTCCCATAAAGAAGTTAAGAAAAAGACAGGGAAAAAAATAGCTCATTAAAATAATCAAAAATAAGTTTTGAGAACAGTGAGACATAATTTGATTAAGTTTTCTCACTCAATATGAGCATTTTAACCCTTCATTTTCATTTTACAGTTATAGTCATTTTTCCTCTGCTCACTGGCAGGTCTTGTAAACCATTTGGTGGATGATCTGGCCTCTTTCCTGAAGGGTGTGTGTCAATAGTAACTGATCATTTTATTTTTTTTTATTAGCATGCTAATTTTTGCTTTGATTTATGGACATTTCTGCTGAGAATTTATTGCAGGAAGACATTTTATTAATCCCAATTTCTTTAGTAAAGTCACAACACACTTATGTCATTTTAGAGAAATTATTATTATCCATGACTGGAAATAATTACTTTGTATTTAAAGAATTCAAACCAAGAATGTAACCTTCAGACATTTTAACCAAATACTAAATTTTTTTAAAAGTCAACTTTTTACTTACCAGATCTTCACCAAATCAAATATCACGTTGCTCTAAGAATGACTTAAGTTACAAAGATGCATCAAATTCAGCAAGAGCAAATACTGTTTCAAATAAATGAGAAAATTTGTCAAAGAAAATAAGAGTAGTGGAAGAAACTAGAGCCAGAATTAAGAGTAGAATAGAAAGTGCACGTTAGAAAGTCATGAGTACAGAAAAGTCATGTTGAAGATGGGTCATAGATCAGGTTGTAAACCTTTCATCATTGTCTGTGAAAGAGAAGACACCTAGTTACGTCATAGAACCCCTAAGGCAACAATGAACTAGCTTCTCAGAAGAAACGCTGTTATCCTTGTTAAAGGGAGGAAAGATAACTTTTTCTTCATCTCTTCATAATGAGGAAAAACTGTGGCAATAATAAGTAACAGGCTTGTGTTAAAAACCCGAGCGGGTTTTGTAGGGCAGTTTTTCACATTATCTTTTAATTTAGGCTGATGGCATTAGAAAGCGCCATTTGGCAAAACTGCATGTCAAGTTCACTGCTCTTTTGATGTTTAAATATTGAGAAGAATGAAACGCATTCCTCTCGCTTTTCTCCAAATTTTCTTCTGCCTGACCTGCTGAATTGGCAGGCGGCGGGATTAGACTCCTGGACAGGAGCCAGGGCAGTGTTACCGTGGGGACCCCGGGGACTGACAGTGCCTCCTTCTCCCTGTGACAGTGTCATGAACCTGGACGACCTGACCCGGCGAGGGCTGTACCTGAGCGACATCCCCCTGCACGATGCCACGCGGGACCTCGTGCTGCTGGGGGAGCAGTTCCGAGAGGAGTACAAGCTGACCCAGGAGCTGGAAATCCTCACGGACAGGCTGCAGCTCACACTGCGTGCCCTGGAAGATGAAAAGAAGAAGACAGACACGTAAGCACGTGCCCTGTGCTTAAAGAGGGCGGGCAGGGCCGGCGGGGCTGGCCTGCTTGGTAGCTGGCGGCCCTGCCGTAGTTAAGACTGACCGTTGGGCTGCTTGCTGTGCAGCAGGCCAGTAAATCCAGACACAAGTTGCTGGGGCAAGGAACAGCGATCGTAGTCGGAAAGACGGCAGACCCAGAAGATGGCGGGCTCGTGTCCCAAACGACCATCTGGCCTGAGTTAGAATTCGGGCTCCTTTTATGCTAAAAGAGGCGGGACCAGCCAAAGGGGCGGGGCTAAACCCAAAGGGGGTGGGACCTGCCAAAGGGGGTGGGACCCGCCAAAGGGGCGGGGCTAAATCTAAGCACTTCCTGGTTCCCGGCAGCGTCTGGGGCTGGGAGGTGTGAATGTCTTCCTTCCTGCTGCCGCTCCGTGGTGAGCCTGGTCAGGCTGTTTTCCTGGGAGCTAAACAAAGGTATTTAGCTTAAGGCTCATGACCTGGGGGAGCAGGGTTCCCAGAGATGGGCGATCGTGTACAATTTAATCTGATAAGCCGTCAGTGATTAGCTTGTAATAGAACACAAAGGTTTTTCCCTATAACAAGACTCTGAGGAGGCGTGGGACCCGCCGTAGGTCTGGAGTCCTAGGTAAGCTCTAACACATCACTTCAATAGAAGTTATGCACACAGAAATCAATCAGTCCTAATAGTAATTTTACGAACCAAGCTGGAAGAATATATGCTAAAGCATGTCTCTGGAAATCATTAGAAGAATAATTCAAGTGCATATTTCAAGTCCAACTACCCGTCCATCCATTTCTTCACACAAGAGGTGTACCGAGCATCCTCTAGGTGCCAGGGCTACCCAGGTGCTGGGGGACACAGAACACTGAACTTAGATTTGGCCATTATTTGGCCATTTATTTGGTCATTAAGCGTTCTGTTCTTGGACTCCAAATTATTTTTGGGGTCGGCAGGTGAGTCTGACAGACTGTAGTGTCATCTGTAATTTGATACACGAACAAAGGTATCAAAACACAAAACTATTATTTTTCTATGAATGGTGGATTAAATTATGAACTTCTGGGCAAGTAACATTTAAGATAATAGTTCGTTTTCAAGTAATTCATTTAAACAAATACACATTGTGCATACTGCTTGGCCTTGCTTGAGTATATTAATTAAAATTCATTAAGAGCATGAAATCACTGACTTTCATAAGAGACTTTTACCGGTGGTCTTGCGTGTTCATTTTTAACGTTTGTATAATAGGAAGTTGTCTTGGAGAATCGACCTGATCTTCCTTCGTGTAAGAACTGTGTCACTCTACTTGACACCATAGGGTTGGTAACAGCACCACTTCCTGTCCTTTTCTTGCATTGATGTGTGTGTGTTGCCTATGGATGTATGCTGTGCCCACAGGTAAACACATCAATTAACTGTTTATTGGCAGCTTAGATGGATAGAGAATCCACGTAAATGTCTGTCTTCATCCCTGGCTTCTTCCTGCCCTTCTCCTACTTTGTATAATGAAGCTGAAAACTGTAGTTTCTTCGACACCACTTTACTTTCCTCACGGCCCTGAAGGGAACCCCTTAAGCGTTCCAGGTATTTGGCAAATTTCCAAAAGTATGTGGGGTGAGGTGGGCCGATCCTCCTACTGCTCGAGAAACAGCTCGAAATGTATATTTATCAGTCTGTGGTACAGTTTCCACCATGAAAAATAACACATTTTATGGAGCTTGTAAGATAGTTCTCAGGACCAAGGCTCACAGTCACCTGGGTTTGTAAGTCTGAGTTACTCGGACCCTGCTCTGGCTGTTATATTAGAAAACCACCAAGGTTTCCATCTTCGTTGGTATTTGATTTTCAAGGTGATTTAATTATAAACATTTACTATGAATTTTTGTTGAAAAAGTAGTTGTACTGGTCACATTTAACATTCACATACGGCTTTAAAATGTATAAAATGTTCTCTGTTTGAAAGTGAAAAGTGAAACACTGAATAAATTCCACTAAAGGTAGCGAAAAAATGAGACCTCAGCTGCATTCTGCACCTTAACCTTGGCACCGGTGCCGTCTGGCTTAGGGGAGGAAGAGGCTCGGAGGTGGCGTCTACTCCTGTGCGCCGTCCTGTCAAGGAACCGCAGGTCTGCCTGCTTCCGCTTCTCTGCTCATCTCTCACCCCTCCCGTGTGCTCGCCACTCTCCCCGCTCCCCAGGGCCCCTGGTCCCGTCAGCGTGGTCTCAGGATCGTCAACGGAAATAGGATCTTTTCTTGTCTAGACCAATTTCTACCTGCTTTATCCGTTTCTTGCATGAAGGAGTGAGGCAGGAATGAAACAGAAAAATCTGCCCTTCCTTTCTTCCTTCCGTCCTTCCTTCCTTCCTTTCTTTCATTGAAGTATAGTTGATTTATAATGTTGTGTTAGTTTCAGGTGAACAGCAAAGTGATTCAGTTATATATACATATATACATGTTCTTTTTCAGATTCTTTTCTGTTATAGGTTTTTACAGGATATTGAGTAGAGTTCCCTGAGCTGTACAGTAGGTCCTTGTTGGGGAAATCTGCTTTTCACGTCGGATGACAAACATTGAGGCAGATGGCTTATCTCTGAGGGGTGAACATATCCCTGGTTTTGTGGGATCCATACAGTGCTAAGTGCTTGAATGGCTTCTTTCATCCTGTGCATATCCCAGCAGGAGCATCGACACACAAGACCACGCAGGACAACTTCGACTTCCCGGTGTCAGTCCTCTGTTTTGTCTGTCTGTTTTGTTTGGCTTATTTTGATTTGCTTTGAACTGGTTTGGATTGGGGGATGTTCTATGGGATTAAAACAAACCAATTATTTATATTTTCTCGACTTGACTTACAAAGATGGCTGATAGCGGGTGTTCTGTCAGAACCCAAGCCTGCACAGTGCACGTGGCATTGAAGTCTACGAAGTGGGCCGGAGAGGCACTGAAGCTGCTCTCAGCATCTCTCACTGTGGCTTTGTCCTCACCCCTCTGGACAGGTTGCTGTACTCTGTCCTTCCTCCGTCCGTGGCCAACGAGCTGAGGCACAAGCGTCCGGTGCCCGCGAAGAGGTACGACAACGTGACCATCCTCTTCAGCGGCATCGTGGGCTTCAACGCCTTCTGCAGCAAGCACGCGTCTGGGGAAGGGGCCATGAAGATTGTCAACCTCCTCAACGACCTCTATACCAGATTCGACACTCTGACAGATTCCCGGAAAAATCCATTTGTTTATAAGGCAAGTCCAGGTCGTGTCCTAACGCAGTGCCATTCATGGTTCTGAGTTTTCAAGCCGTGGCTTCCAGAGACACTGCAGTCACCATTCCCTGACTGTAGCCCTGCAGGCTTGGTACGGGCAGCTCTCATGCCTTCGTTATTTACCATTTTCTTAAATAATTACCTCTCGTTCTAAAACATTCTCTTCCTTGTAACCCAAATGAATGGAACAGACGATTCCCTAGTTAAAATGTTAAATCCGTGCAGGTGGTTTATCACACGTAATACAAACATGGCATTCGTGTCAGTGGTCTGCAAGCGACATTTTTACTGAAAGGTAAAAGTGATTTGCACAGTAAAGAAGCCATGGAGCATAAGAAGGGGACTCAGACCTGCTTCTAGATAACGTCAGCTTGAAGGGAAACGTTTATACGGCATTTCTGCCCTTGGTTTCAGTTAGTAACAAATATAATATTGGAAAAATGAAGTCAGTGGAATATTGCTTCGTAAAGGCAAGAATGTGAACTAAACCACCCCCAGGCCTCTGGAGTCAGAGAAGTGCCACAAGGACTATTTATTTTATAGTCTTTTTCCGAGGAACGGTGTAACACTTGGTGAGCATATCGTAAAAATCAGTGGTTAATGACCAGGATAAATCACTGAACTGGGGGCAGTGGAGCTTTGGCCCATCCAACCATCAGTGTTTTAAGGGGAAATAGGGTAGTAAATTGTTCTGCTGGGCAGTAAGCATATCTGAGCTGAGAAACCAGGACGTAACTAGAGGAAAAACAATGCCTGTAGTCAGACTCCAAGTGCCACATGTGTACATTTCAAATAATGACGTTTCTTCTCGCTGGAGTTGAAGGTATCAGAATTTTAAGAGATTCAGGGGAGGAAAGTTGAAAGTTATTGAGAGCAGTTGGCAGAACATGTTCTGTGTAAGGGTAGCAAGTGAGACAGTCATGTTTGTACTGACCAATCTGTGCCCTGCTAGGTGGAAACGGTCGGTGATAAGTACATGACGGTGAGTGGTTTACCAGAGCCCTGCATCCACCATGCACGTTCCATTTGCCACCTGGCTTTGGACATGATGGAAATTGCCGGCCAGGTCCAGGTAGATGGTGAATCTGTTCAGGTTAGTAGATAAAACAGATATTATAATGGTAGTAATAGACCTTTTGGACAACCGATTTATATTCTTGACCAGCTAATCATGAGTTATGTACAAGGAATAACATCTTGACAACAAAGACTAAGATTTTTAATGTTTTTTAAATTGAAGTATAGTTAATTTACAATGTTGTGTTTCTACTGTACAGAAAAGTGGTTCAGTTATACATACATATGTATTCTTTCTCATGTTCTTTTCCATCATGGTTTAATACAGGGTATTGAATAGAGTTCCCTGTGCTCTACTATAGATCCTTGTTGGTTATTTATTTTATATAGAGCTGTGTGTATATGTTTATCCCAGACTCCTCCTGATTTATCCTCCCTCTCCCTTTTCCCTTTGGTAACCATGTGTCTGTTCTCTGTGTCTGTGAATCTGTCTGTGTTTCATAGATATGTTCATCTGTGTCAAATTTTAGATTCCACATATAGGTGATATCACATGATATCTGTCTTTCTCTGTCTGACTTCCTTCACTGAGTATGATAATGTCTAGGTTCATCCATGTTGCTGCAGATTGCATTATTTCATTCTTTTTTTTATGGCCGAGTAATATTCCATTGTATATATGCACCACATCTTCTTTATCCATCCTTCAGTGGACACTTGGGTTGCTTCCATGTCTTCGCTATTGTGAATAGTGCTGCAGTGAACACTGGGGTGCATGTATCTTTTCAAATTATAGTTTTTCTCCAGGTATATGCTCAGGAGTGGGATTGCTGGATCATATGGCAGCTCTGTTTTTAGTTTTTTTAAGGAACCTCCATACTGTTCTCCATGGTGGCTGCACCCGTTTACATTCCCACCACCAGTGTTGGAGGGTTCCCTTTTCTCCACACCCTCTCCGGCATTTGTTATTTGTAGACTTCTTAATGATGGCTGTTCTGACTGATGTGAGGTGATACCTCGTTGTAATCTTGATTTGCATTTCTCTAATAATTAGCGATGTTGAGCATCTTTTCTTGTGCCTTTTGGCCATCTGTATAAACAAAGACTCATAGTTTATTGAACCCATTGTATTACATTCTTCCATAGAAATGGGAAACCTGTCCACCTGTTTGAAATCTTCTTTATTCCATGTACTGAAAGTCATGAGGATGAGATAAAACCACCTGTCTGTCCTTCCTGGTTTATTTTTTAAAATCTCTTTCCTGTGTCTCATGTAAGTTGCCAGATTCACATCTTTGAAAGCTTCAAACTTGACAAAAAGAATGTTTCTCTTGAAAGATTTTGTGAGGGTTTTTGTCTGTAATATGCTTGGAGTTCTAGAGAATTCTTATGATTTTTATATGATGACTGTGCGTTATTCTTTAATCTAGAGTAAGCAGTAATTCATAGTATTGAATTTATTAAGGCAGAGCTTTGATTTTTCCAGATAACAATAGGGGTTCACACAGGGGAGGTAGTCACTGGTGTCATAGGACAGAGGATGCCTCGCTATTGTCTTTTTGGAAATACTGTCAACCTCACAAGCCGAACAGAAACCACTGGACAAAAAGGAAAAATAAATGTGTCTGAATATACATACAGGTAAGAGATACATCTAGGTATTTACTGATTTGAAAAATGTCTCTTTGCATGTGTTTTAATTCCCTGGGTGCTTTTATTACCTTTAACATTTATCACCTCTGCTCTTAGGATTATTTATTATTTATTTGAGAAGATGGTGTCATTATTTCCAATTTAAGTGACTCTTCACCATCTTAGGGGTTTCTGCTATGATCATTGTTACTAAAACCTCGAGGTACCCCCTAAATAGCTTTGGTGTGTGTCACTTTCTCTGTGCAGCCATACTCCACGCTTCTCTCCCTGTTCCCTGTCCCCTTTAGATGTCTCATGACACCAGAAAATTCAGACCCACAATTCCATTTGGAGCACAGAGGCCCAGTGTCCATGAAGGGCAAAAAAGAGCCAATGCAAGTTTGGTTTCTATCCAGAAAAGTTACAGGAACAGAGGTATGACTCATCAGAGTGTAATTCCTTTTTTAAGACAGACTATAAACATGGGAGCTAAATCATAATCACTGAAAACACGTTTCATTTGTAAAGAATTCTTGCTTACGCGAACTCTTGAGTAAAGCAGCAGAAATACTGAACCATTAGTGAGCGGGTTAGAACAATACAGACTTCTTAGCGGAGACTTTATGGTTGCTGGTTTTGTCCTCTAATGAGATTAAAACCGAAGCAGTAGACTGAGGAGGCCTGGCTTTGGTTGTTCCTCCGTAATTTGGCTCAGACCCAGCTGGGGAGTGGGCGGTGAGGGGCGCCCCCGGGCCCTCCCCAGCACCCTCAGCTGTTGTGAGGGTGCCACCAGGGCCAAGACAGGGCCGCCTTCACGGGAGGTTTCCTAACCATGATGCTCCAGATCCTTGTGAGGGCCACGCTGTCACCTCGGGGAATGTTTGGGCATTTTTGGACATCCTGGTCCCTCGTGTGTCTTCCCTGGAGAGAAGAGTGATTTATACTTTTCCAGAATCTAAATGATTCCACAGGGAAGCTGTAGGTGCATGCTCGTGCTCTGGGTGTGCTCCAGCCTGAACCCAGGTGCTTGGGGGCCTCAGAACTCTGGGGTTCGCTCGGTGGTCCTGTGACCCAGGGTGGCTCGTGACACCAGTGTCCTGCCAGCTTTGCCCCCTCCCAGTGGGTTGCATCAGAAACAAGTGTGATGCTTTGTTCCCCGCTGAGGCACTGGTTCTTTAGAGGCGGGGAGACTCCTTGACTATATGTCTTTTCCTGGATGTACACATTCATTATAAATACGTTGAGAGTAGAAGTCCTAAAAGGAATGGAATGCCAGGTTCTGAAATACTTACCTTCATCTTCTCGTCACGGTTTTCACTTCTGGTGCTGGCTTGCTTCCCGATGTTCGTCTGATAAATTAGCTTCCTGCCAGCATTGCTTATTTGACTTGGCTGCTTCTGTCTCATCCAGCGTGATGCTGGGAATGACGTAGAAAAACTGTAGAGATGAATGCACATCAAATTTTATTTAAAAAGAGAACGAAAATCTTTTGGGAGTCCTACAAGCCTCATTATCACTGAAAATTAATACCCTGTTTTTTTCCACTTTGTAAAGGAAACAAAGCAGGATGACAACTGAATCTTGGACCTTGAGGTGAAGAGGGTGGGGTGAGGTCCAGTCTTCCCCTAAGTCCTGCCAAGCCTGGGAGCAGTCATCCCTTGGTTCCTTTCCATTTCCCCAAGCCTTTCTCCTGGTTATCGCTTTCCTTATTCATTATTCAGCTTTAGCTCTGCTTTTGAGTATTTTCAAGGTTTAGTATATTATCTGAAGTTTGGCTTCGTGTGGGTGATGTGAGCTTCACGTGTCTTAAAATCTACTATAAGCATCACCTAACATGGTGACTTGCAAGTAGTAGGCACCCAATAAATATTTGTTGAATTTAATTAAATGAAACAGAACAGTATTTGGCCATGTGTCTCTATATATGTATGTACACACACACACACACACACACACACACACACACACACACACACACACACACACTTTTCCAAATCTGTTCAGTGCTCTCTCTATACGCATATGTATATTTTAGTGACTATAACATATAAAAAAGTTTTGTCATGTTGGTGTATATCATTATAGAAATCATTTTCTAAAGGAGTGAATTCAGAGTTTTAGGGAAAAAATGCAATTTATTTTCAGACTCCCCAAATAAGAATTAATATATCGTGCTAAGAAAATACTCACTATTTTGAATTATGCTAACTTTCCTTCAGAAATACAGAATACACATTTCTGTTATTAAACTATTGGGTTATTCATTCAGATCACGTGGCAATTATAATTCCTCTAAAATGCTGTCGTTTGCATTGTACCCCTTGTGTAATTATAAATCTCACTAATCCCATCCAGCTGTTAAAGCGGCACTGTTTCACAATGAGCTATTGCGTTAGTTTGGGGTAAATGTTAGGGGCTCTGACCACATCCAAGGAAAAAGCTGGAAGCATGGCTGGGTTGTTCCTATTTGTCAGAGCCCCTCCTGGCCCTTTATTCCCAGAAATTAGCTCCTTTTTCTTAGCTTACAAGAATGTGACTATATCTAGGACATCATGTTCAGAAAACTTACTTTAATTCCAACATAGAACGCATTCCTTTTGGACTCGTTAGCCTCTCGTCCTTCAATATCTCTGATAATTTATTAATATCTGTCTTTATAAACTATAGTACAGTTACTTTCATGTAAAAACGTTTGTCTTTAAATTTAGCATTTCCTATCCGCATATTGATATTTGTATAATATGTTCTGTGTTCATGTGTAAGGGATCCTGCAATAAATTATTTTTTCCACTTGTCTCTAGACGGTTTTTAATTCAATAAAAACGAATAGTTTTGTCAGTCACTTGATTGATTAGTGCCATTTTTGGAATACGTCTTATCCCTTTGCCCGTTACAGGCTTTCATTTCGACTCCCTGCTGTTAGGATAAAGCTGAATGGTTCCTCTTCATCAGGCCTATTCCCAGATGGTATTTGTCTCCAATGACAGCGGCAGGACCAGGCTTGGCAGGGGTGGGGAGGATATATGCACAGATACGTGTGAAGCGACACTGACGAGCTCCCGGCATTTTAGGGGTGAAAGACACGTACAAATAACCAAACCGTCTGATATTCATAGCGATGAAACATGTTCAAGACACAGAAAGGACAGAGCGTGAGAAACAAGGAAGGAAGTGGGGTGCAAAGAAGGCGGGAGACCAGCTGGATTTTGTGATGGTTTCGTCTGAAGGTGAATTAATGCATCCCTCGGAGAAGCCTACTCTGCCTCTGGGTCCCATCTGTTCAGCCCTTCTGGGTAGCACCAAAAAAAATAGAACCAAAGGTTATGGAAAGGTAAGAGTTTCTCAGCTTGATTTGAGGATAATCTGTACATGTTTTTAAACTTCTACAGAAGAATAGCAGTTTATACCCACGCACAAATATATTTCAGAACCAATTCATTATCTCATTTTACTTAAATCTTGATTGATTCCCCAGATGACATGTTCTGTCTCTTCGTCACGGAAGGTGTGACGTTGTGGTTTGTAATAAGAGGTCTCTACGTTTGGTCTTAGCCCCCGTCCCCTTCTGGCTCCAAGCTCCTACAGCTCCAGGAATTCCCTAAGTGATGAAAACGACAAAGGTGTCTTTCATCATGTTAGTGACGTGACTCGGGGCCTGGGCTGGGTTGGGGGGAGCTTGTTGCCAGGTGAACCGACCTGGACTTCAGAGGGTGGGAACTTTTAGTCCCACCCTGACCCGTGTCTCCTGGGAAGGGAGAGGGCCTGGAGGTTAAATGCTTGCCAGCGGCCAGTGATCCCGTCAAGCGGGCCTGTGTGATGACGCCTCCAGAAAAGCCCAAAGGTCGGAGAGCTTCCGGGTTGGTGGACACGGGGCGAGGCAGGGGTGGGCCTGAAGCTCTGCGTGTCTCCCATCTGGCTGTTCTGAGTCACATCCTCTTGTAATTATCCAGGCGGCTGGTAAGTAAAATGGGCCCCTCAGTTTGTGTTTCTCTCTAGCAGGGAACCTTGGGTCTGCAGCCGGTTGGTCGCAAGCGCGGGTGACAGCCTGGCCTTGCTTTGGTCTCCAAGCGGGTGCGTCTTGCAGGGCTGAGCCCTGAACTTGAGGAATCAGAGGCGATCTTGGCGTAGATGGTGTCAGAACTGAGCTGCATTGTAGGACACCCGGCCAGTAGTCCTGGGAGTTGCTCTGTGGTAGGGAAAACACCCCACACTGTAAATGGGTGCAGATTCTTACAGGGGAAAAGAAGAGTCCCGTCTCTGCTCACGTTAGGTAGGTTTCTCTTTGCAGCCTCGCTGCCGCCTCTTAGGACCGCCAGGGGGCAGCAGAGGGGGCCGTGCAGAATCGAAGAGGGGCGGGCGGAGCGGGGAGGGGAAGGACACGGGGCTCTCGTAGGAAGCGCCGCTCGCGTGTCTCGGCTTCGGACCGAAGGACGCTCCCTGCGTGCGGTCTGGAGTTCACCCTCCCACTGTCCCCTACGGTAAAAGGAACGTCATGAAAATACTTATTTTTACGCCATTATGACCGTTTGTGTAGCAGGAAACCTACTCCCATGCATCATGTTCAGAAATGTCACCCACATTTTTCCTGCTG